CTGTCAACTCGACATTTATCAAAATAGATCACTTCCTTCCATCGTCGTATGAGTCCGCTGAGAAATTCGAAACAACGATTTTAAATACCTATTTCAAAGTCCAGTTATTGTCCACAAAGTAAACCTTGGCCACAAGAATGTGTAAATTTCCGTGTAGAAATGTCGTTAACCAAGTTGTAGATTACAAACGTCTTGAAATTACCACAAACAATTTAAAATCACACCTATGAAGATTCAGCTTGCCTGAGACCAGCTTTGTCTTGAAATTATAGCATAGTACTCAGAGAAGAAGGTAACAGTGCTCGTTTGTCGGACTTTACGCCATATTTTCCACATTTCTAAGCAGGAAAAAATCGAAAAATCGAATAAGCGCGGTTGATAATGAACAAACAGAATATTGATCAGCGGTCGTTGGAATAAATCAACGTAGTTATTACCAGTCTCTCTCGCAAACGCCTCTGTGCTGTGCTTTCTTTTTGCCATTCACCACCCCCGCACCCACCCCCTCTTCCATAGACAAACCAGCCCCTCCACTCAAAGCTTTTTTCCTAAACAAAAATATAAGGTTGGTTTTTTGTTCAATCTATTTTTTTCTCCTTTCGCGTTTTCTCTCCCATTGAAGCCCATTGCTCCTGACGCGGTAGATTGATGACTATTTAATTAAATGCTCACGTTTTCCATTTTTCATCCCGCTCCCCACGCTGTCGTCTCTGTTCTCTCATATCAATTCCAAACCCACGTTCTCCTCCTAATATCACGGATTTGAGAGTGGTCTAATCTACTGTGAAGTGTAACTGAAATGGAGGGTCTGGGTACGAGTCTCGTGGTAGCCTCCAACAGAAGGGCAAAAGGGAAATTACCCCCCTCTGGATCTATAAAGTAAGATTTTTACCAGTCTAATTCATAATCTTGATTAAAAACAACTTCCTTTTGCTTAAAGAAAAAGAAAAAAGAAAGGAAAGATTTTCCTCCATTCTTGGGCTAGTAGGCATAGGTAAGTTGCTGGCCAAAAGTTAATGAGGACACAGAGAGAGACTACACAGTGCAAGGGAAACAAAATGCAAGAATCATCATTCAATTCCCCTTTTTACTTTTCTAAAATGGCAAACTTAGCAGCATGGGTGAAAAGAAGTTTGATTATATATTTGAAATATTAGAGGGGCTCTGCCGATCTGGATATTTCAAACGTCATGACAACACTCTAGCTGATAACTGAACAGATCTATTGTTTTATATAAATGTTTTTCTTTTTGTGGTGCTTCAAGAACTCAAACTTAAAGCCATCACCTTCAAAGGAAATATTACAGTCATTTATTATCAGGAAACTCAAACTCCATGGGCTGTTTAATTACACGAGGTCTAACCCAACTGTAGTTTTAGCAAGCAGTTGGCTTGTATTCTTAGCAAGGTTGTTTTCATTGAATGTGTCCTTCCACTGATATCTTTTGACACAGTTCACACAGTTCACAAAAAATAAATGTTCAGATTAAAGATTCAGCCTAAAATAAAGATAGTTTAGGACACCCTTTCCTTACACAATGGCTAACCTTTGTTATCATAAGCAGAACCAAGTGTCTCGACCCAATTTCCATTTCCCATGAAAAACACATATTAGAAGAGTCTAAATATGCTTCCAAGCTGCAAAAAGCAAAATCTAACAAAATAAAAAAATGAAGCTAGGGGACAATTTCTTTTTGAAGAAATGTTGACAAAATGCAAAATCTAAAATACTAAAAATTTCTCCAGTAGCAATCTTTATTGCTCTAACGGAGGTCAGCTCTAACAATTTCTTAACCTTTGCCATATATGGTATCTAAAGACTATTAAATAAACTACAAGGATCCCTTCCTATTTACTGAAGTCTTTTACGCAAGTCAAAAAAATCCATGCAACCTGGCCTTGAAAAACTCTGGGGTTAAGGCGCATGAAGTGTACCTCTTTTCCTGCACCTCAATTCCCAGAGTTTCGCATGGCATGCAAACATCAATTTTTTAAAGATTTTTCACTGATTTTTTTGGACTTGCCCGCCAAACTTCACTGAAAAGGAAGGACTACTCATAGTCAAACTATCAACCCTTCAACTCCCAAGATCTGATTGTTAATTCTCTCCTCTAGCTGCCAAACATTTCCTTGTAAATTGGTTTTGAGAATTTGGGGTGCAATCAAGATAAAATCCTGTACCTGATAAGTTTGAGTAATCTCACTACTTGTTTGCTGGATAATGTGTGGATATTATAAGGAGAACCTACATGTTAATCACCTCTGGAAGTTAAAGGGTTGAAGAACATAACTTCATAACAGTATGATTGCAGACTGACACTTAACCACAAAAAGCTACATTATTCAACACAAAGGGAAGTGATTCATTTTTAAACTGCACAAACAAGATTACAGCCTTGCAAAAAGAGCTTGCTTGTGAGTTCTGTCATATTGACACTGATATATAGTACAGGTTGGTTAAAGTAAATAACAAACATTTGAATGATAATAAATAAATATCTATAGAGTTACATCTATTTAAAATGGTAATCTGTTCCATATTTGTAAGAAGTCACCACTACACAGAAATAACTTAGAAAATTAGAAACACTATTTAGCTAGAAAGCATGTATTTATTCCAGCCTTGCAACTCCACAAGAATGATTCCATATTCTCCTCCGTATCTGCTATAAATTTTCTAATATGGCAGTGAGGAGAATCTGAAGTTACATCAGAATAACACCCTTCAGCTATGTAATATAATTGAACTACAGTAAGAGGTTACATGGCAATAGCTTCTAAGAGTCAAAACACTTCAACAAAATGGTTGCTGAAATCCAAAACCAACCCATGAGAAGGCATCCTTCAGGCAAATAGGAAAATAAGAATTTGAGTCAATGCTGATCGTTTATCTTTTCAGATGTTTGTTTAACAGAGGTTTAACATAGCTTTGTAATGTTCTTTAAAATTAAAATCATATTTTCTCTGAGGTTACTTCCCACCTTCGGAAGCCTAAGTCAAAAATTACATTTTCTTAACATTAGGTTAACCCTTTAACTCCCATGAGTGACCAAGTCAGAATTTCTCCTTACAATATCAATACAATATCAAGCAGACAAGTGATGAGAATTAAGAAAAATCTTTTAAATTAGGGGGTTATTACTTGATCCAATACCAAATTCTCCAAGCTAACATCACAAGAACTATATTGCAGACAGTAAGGAGAACTACTAATGAGATCTTGGGAGTTAAAGGGTTAAAACAAACCAATTAAAATCTGCATAATTCCATAAGAAGTGGTTTTGATTTTCAGCTTCCATTACAGGTCCTAAAACTAACTTGGTTTAAAGACATTTAACATATCTACACTAAGACTGTAATGATAAAAGTTTAACTTGGTGTTTTGGTTCAATTTCTTATCCTCATTAAATGCATGATAATCCTTCTCTGAATCCTATAATGATCAATCATTCTACAGATGTCAGCATGCTCTTTTCATCTACACACTTCAATGGATATTTTCCATCTGGCTGCATTTTGTTGTTATTATTGTTGTTGTTAAAGGGATTACCACAATTTAAACAAGGGCAGAGTTCACATGATCCTTCATCACTGAAGCAAGGGCAGCGCGTGGTAACACACCTTGGGCTTTGAAGCTTGGATGACATACCACAAGAACACCTCTTCACCTTTCCTTTGTTCTTTCTGTGTTTTCCAGGAGGAGTCACCACAACAGTTTGTTTTTGTTCAATCTTGGGCTTCGGTTCAGGATCAACATTATCAACAACTTGAATCTCTTCACTTTCCTCTTCTTCCATAATAACTTTTTGTGGACAATCTCCAGTTTTAAAATCCAGAGAAGCAAAATCTGTAGAAATATTTTTCTCACTCCCTAAATTATAAAAAGAATTTGTTGCATTTGCACTGAGCCTGACAGTTTTTTTCTTTTTCCCATAATTGTAATAACTTCCTTTGAAAGGTTTTCTCTTTCTTTTCTTTTCTTTCTGACTGTCACTTCCTGTCGGAGAAGACAACAACTTAGTAACTCGTTTTGGAGGGAGCAGTTCTATTTCCGGCGGAAGTTTGACTGGTGTGACACGTGACTCGGTCGCCATGTTCAAATTCCCGCTCGTAGAAGGGGAAATTTTGGAATTTGAATCTGTGGTGTTTGCGGGTACCGGTGCTTGTTCCTGTTGATTCTGAAAGTGTGCGAGTGAAATCGGACTTGTCACCGCCTCTTTAATGATCGCTAAAGTCTTGTTATACTCGCCATTTTGCGTGGCAAGTAATTGTCCACCAACCGCCTTTTGAGCGACGTATTCGCAAAGCTTTTGATAACAAGCTAAGAGAATTCTTGCCTGTTTATCTTCCGTTAGCTTTTCTAAGTTTGTACACCACCGACATCCAGGTATCAAAGCCCGTTTTTTCCGTAGACATCCTTTGCAGACATGGTGCTCACAGCTGTGAGATCCGTACGGGTCGATCAATAAACCGCGGCACACTCGACATGAAAGGGCTTGGCGAAGCTTCGGTAGCAAATGGAACATCTGATCCCAAACAGCTTGGTTGTCATTTTCAAGTGACAACATGCATTTGCACGCTTCAACATGTAGCGTTGTGGCGTTCATTCCGCACTTTTGAACGGAGCCCGTAACCGTTCGAACGATCTTTCCACTCAAACTGTTAGTACAATGATTCCCAGTTAACTCGTTCGATTGTATTTTTAATTTTTAGAATTGAGCCGCAGTTTTATTGTTCAGTGGTATCTGCCAGATTTCAGCATGCCCCCTTCCTGTTCAGCCGCACGTGCGTCGATTTTAGTAACAGAGGGGTGCCTCAGAATGTATTAATTTTTGAATTTATGATTATTTTCTTTAAAAAATGAGAAAAATTGACTAGTCTAGTCGAAAAAATTTTACTTCAGGTATTGAATATATTTAAAAAAGACAACAGCTTTCGAAACTGGAGAGCCTAAAGTGGAGCTGAATTTTTTTCTTACATATAGCAAGCATTCTCACCCTACCCTAGTCAGTTGAGAACAACACATCGGGCATTCTGTCGTGAAACATGGCTATGTTCACGGCCTCAAGGGCTGGTGGATTGCTGAAATCTTTTTTCCCCGTGTCTGCGGGGTTTATCAGCAAAACGTCAGGTACAAGTGGAGCCCATTTTAAGAAAAATGCTGTTTTTATTCGAGCTTGTTCTGGAAGCGTTCTACAGAGGATCGAAGAGAAAAAGGAAGAGGCCATTGTTGGTGGGGGACAGAAGAGGATTGACGCTCAACATCGTAAAGTAAGCTACTTTCTCTCAGTCTGTCTGCTGATTTTGGTTTTGATAAGATTGAGTTCTGAAAAAGTGGATTTTTTTGATGAATTAAAGAGGGAACGCTACTCTTTCATAAATTTTCCTTCTAGCTAGCCACCCTCCCCTCCCACCTCCCCAAAGTACACATTTCTTGAATTTGGTGTCTTTTCTGGCGAAATAGCAGGTGAATCTCGTCTTTGTTCTTGCCTTTTAATTGATGTGTCATTCATAAACTGATCGTTCTACCCCTTCTGGTTAAATTCTCCCAACCATATATGTTGGAGGATAACAGTCCTGTTAGGAGAAAGTTGAGGCCCATAAAAAGTCATTAAAGAGACTGAGACAAACTTTCTCAACTAAATAAGCTTGTTAACTTAAGAATTATATCTCTTCAAAAAGAATTTTCACGATGTTTCACTTATTTATGAGGACAAAGCAGGATGTTCAATCCTGCGCCTGAAGATAGTAATATGTCTTTCTAAGACAGTCTCACGGAGCCAATAGAAATACAGGATTGCCTCCACCTCACTTAGTCACAGAGCCAGCCATAGTATTAAGTGGCTCTCCTGTTTGTTGATATATAAGATGAAGGATCACTGAAGCTTTATCACAGATATCTATTCCTGAGACATGTCCTGCCCCTTATAAAAAGGTACTTCTTTTCCTGTATCCTGGGAGAGGTTAGTATAGGTTTAACCCTCTAACTTCCAAGATCTGATTGTTAATTCTCCCCTCTAACTGCTACATATATCCTTGTAAATAAGTTACAAGAATTTGGTGTTAGATCAAGGTAAAAACTTCTACCTGATAAGTTTGAGTATTCTCATTACCTGTTTACTGGAAAATGTATGGATATTTTAGGGAGAAGTGAAATGTTAATCACTTCTGGGAGTTAAAGGGTTAATCAGAGAACTTTACCTCTTTTTTAGGGAAAACTAACTGCAAGAGAAAGAGTCAAGCTGTTGTGTGACCCAGAATCATTTGTTGAATATGACATGTTTATGGAACACAACTGCACTGAATTTGGAATGGAAAATCAGAAGGTCAGTTTTCAGTTGCCTTTTTGTGAGATATATTTGACTGTCCATAATTTAACCCAAGGGAAATTGGGAAAGGTTCTAGTTATTGTAAGCCAAAGTTATCCATCAAAGTTCACCTTTTAATTTCCAAGATCTGATTATTAATTCTCCCCTCTTCAGTTGTTGTTGCTACACATTTGCTTGTAAACCAGAATCTTTTCCTACTTTTTAGCATTAATGTTGGTCAGGTAGGACAGGAACTGAGAGAAAATCAGTGTTCTCATTGCATAACTTTAATGTTGATATTTACATGTATTTTTAGTTTACTGGTGACAGTGTAGTTACTGGACAAGGAACAATTAATGGACGCGTTTGCTTTGTCTTTAGTCAGGTAACAATTTTTTCAGGTCATTATTCACTTTCAGAATTTTTTGTGATTAAAAAAACATTGCCTTAGATTGGCCAGACAAGAAGGAAGGGATTGAGAATAATATTTGTTATATTTTGAATGTGTGGTTTTTCAGAATACACAGTTCATCATTGGCAAAAAGTTTCTGAATTTTGTGCAAACTTGAGTTATGTACTTTTTTCTTCCCTTTTAAAATTCTATGCTTGATCAAGACAGAATTTCTCCTTACAAAATTAAAATTCAATACCTGGCTGACAAGTGATGAAAGTGAAGAGGAAAATCAATTAGAGGATTATCTGCTGATCCAACACCAAATTCTCCAAACTAATATCATATGAATTGTATGACAGATAGCAAGGAGAATTACTTATAAAATCTTGGGATTGAAAAGGTAAAATTAGATATGATTTAAAATTATGATTTTGTCTAATATGGTGTAGTTGTGTTACAGGATTTCACTGTATTTGGTGGTAGCTTGTCAAGTGCTCATGCCAAAAAAATCTGCAAGGTAGGACATGACATCATTTGACTTGAAATGAACCTTCAACTAGAGGATTCTCATTTTGTTACTAGTATACATTTCCTTTGCAGTTTCTATTTAGAGGCTTTTATTTCAAGTATTCACTTTCACAAAGGATTTATTATAATAAATGATTTGAACCCAGGGGTGACATTTGATGACATAGGGTGTTCGTCCAATTGGGAGTTGTCCTAAGAGGGACTGTTGTTGGTAGTGGTGACTGATGTTTTGACAACCTTGTAAGTAGAAGTCATTATCAGAGTGTAAAACATTATAGCTTCAGTTTATGTTACAACAGATTCCCCTCAACAGTTGCCAGAAACTGCTGCACCATACAACAACTTTTTTTTAACAACATTTACACCAAACACAACAATGTAAAATTACAGACAGATTGAATTTAACGATCATGACTGACTTACATCACTTGAGTCTTACAGCCAATGACATCATGGCTAAACAGAGCAATCAATTAACACAAATTTGCCTTTATAACAACACTTGACTGACAACAACTCTCCATTTGACTCTCTTGATGAATAATCTCAAGTTAACTAAACATTAGTCACCACCACCATCATCAATCCTTCCCAAGGGCTACCCTTACTTGGACAATAAGACTGCTCAAGTTCTTAAAAAAATTCATTTTGAAAATTTTTTTTGAAAACTTCAAGAACTCTTCAAGTTCTCAAAGAAATTTCACAATAAAATGTTAAGAGAAATGCATGCGCCACGATTGGTCAGAACAAGTTCATTATATTTCCATAAGGCACGTGCCTTACATCACACAAGTGCACTGTTGAGATACAGTGCATGTAGCCTACATCATTAGTATGAACAGGCACAATTTACAATAAAAGAAATACTTAAAAAAAGTTCTTCCTTGAGCATTGATGAGTTACAGAAGCACTTGGGAATTTTTAAGAACACTCAAGAAGTGTGAGAAGCACTTGCTTTCGGCTCATGCTTCTCCGCACTCTTCTTGTGTTCTTAAAAATTCCTGCATGCTTGTATAACTCAACAATGCACTTGGCACGTTTTTTATTTCTTTAGTACAACATTTGTTCCATTTCTGAACCCTTCTATTCAAAGATGCAAGTTATGTTCTAATCAACATGAAATGATTATAAAATATTTGCAATTTATCATAATAAACACAAACATAACATCAGGAGAGGGTATCTTGTTTATTGATGCAGGATACAGTGAGCGTTACATCATCATGAAGAAAATACAGTAGTGAATAAACACAAAAGCAAAGTTGAAAGAGGTGTCTTCGAGTAGTTCTTGCATAACTTACAGAATCTTAGATAGCTTAGTAGCCCCTAGGGATTCATCATACCTACAAGCATGCCTTAAACGTTTTCATACACTGACAATGAACATACTTCATTATCATTAGCAAAACATTACAAAATATATTTCCAAGTCATTGTCTTATTCACACAGGTGATGGACAAGGCCATGCTTGTTGGTGCACCAGTGATTGGTTTGAATGACTCGGGTGGTGCTCGTATCCAGGAAGGTGTGGAGTCACTGGCTGGTTATGCTGATATTTTCCAGCGTAATGTGATGGCCTCAGGGGTTATTCCACAGATCTCGCTTGTCATGGGACCCTGTGCAGGAGGTGCTGTGTATTCTCCAGCAATTACTGATTTCACTTTTATGGTCAAGGTATGTTTGTTATATAATGCCTTACTAGTACTTAATTTTGCAGGCTTTTAATTTAATGTTTTTTTGCAATTGTAAAAAATTGCAGTTTTTCATACAACTGACATTTTTTTTTCTTGAGGGTGGTACTCTTTCTGGCTCTCAATTTACAGACCACAAACTAATTTGTTTGATATTTTAAATATCGAATATCTGTCTGACAATATTGAAAATTCCTCCATCTACTTTTCAGGACACATCATATCTGTTCATTACTGGACCAGATGTAGTGAAGGTAATTTGGTGGTTCATAGTGAGCTTAAATCTTAACCCTTTAACTCCTAAGATCTGACTGTTAATTCTCCCCTTGAGCTCGAGGAATAGATAAGGGAGCATGACCATATATCAAGTACCTTCTTGTTAAACCTTTACACCCTAACATCAGTTTGCATATTCTCCATACTGTTCTCTATACATTTGCTAAGGTGATCATTTCCTTTATTCTCATGACCTTAATGTATGATTCAGGGGTGATGTGTTAGGAGAAATTGGATGCTAGTCACACCTGGATGTTAAGGGGAAGGGCTTCAGGATAAATTAGGACAGGAAAGGGCTGCTAGGATTGTAAGATCTAACCTTTGATGTTTTTCAATTCTTTTCTGTGCTTTCCTTTTGGAAACAAGACTGTCACACAAGAAGATGTCACTCAAGAGGAACTAGGAGGGGCTAAAACTCACACCTCTGTATCAGGTAAAGATGCAACAAGCACATGCATTAAATCTGGCTTAACCCTTTACAGGGTAATTAAATGTTATCAACTGAGTTGATCACGTAAATTGGCCATTGTTAAGAGTTTCAAAGGTGACATATTGAGTGTTGGCCACTCATCATTTGCTCTGACAAAGGGCTAACACTCAAGACGTCAGCTTTGGAACTCTTTACAGTGGCCAATTTGCATTATCAACTCAGTTGATAGTACCAAATTACCCTGTTAAACTTTCCCACCAATGCAGCACCACAGTTTCTTTAGAAACTTACCCCCTTTATTCATTTAACCCATTACACCCTAACATCAGTATGCATATTCTCCATACTGTTCTCTATGCATTTCCTAAGTTGCTAACATGGAAAATCTGTTTACTGATCAAGAGCTTCTTTGTTTGGTGACCATTTCTTCTATTCTCATGACCCTAATGTGTGATTCATGGTTGATATTGTAAGGAGAAATTAGATGCTGGTCTCTCCTAGGGTTCATGGGGTGAATGTACAAATGTATAGAGGACAGGAGCAGATTAATCTTCCACTGACTGACAAATTTTAAAAAGCTGCAGTTTGAAGAATACAAAGAGGACTCAGGGAGTTAGTTCAGAATGGTCTGAGCCAATTTTAGTGTTCTGGGGTATTCCCTTTAACCTTTCAACTCCCAAGATCTGATTGTTAATTCTCCCCTCTAGTTGCTACACATTTCCTTGTAAATTAGTTAACATGAGAATTTGTTGTTAGATCAAGGTAACAACTTCTACCTGATAAGCTTGAGTATTCTCATTGCCTATTTGCTGGACAACATGTGGGTTTTGAAGAGAGAAGTTACATGTTAATCATTTTTGAGAGTTAAAGGGTTAAATAGAATAAAACTTAAATACAATGACATGGTTGGAATGATAAACTCTGTTCTGACAAAAGAAAACAAAAACACAAAAATTGAAAGAAGGATTTTTACTATAATGGTGAAGATAATTGTAGATAGAAAACTTGAATGAATTTTTTTTCAAGCTATTTTGCAATTGAACTGATCTGCAAAGATGAACCTGAGCAAACAACTCTAAAACATTTTTTTATCAGGAGTTGCTTGTGGGGCATTTGAAAATGATGTGGAAGCTTTGGCCATGTAAGTATTTGACAAAAGTTATATGTACTTTAGTAACATGGAAAAAGCATTGTGTGCAGGTCTAATGGTGTAATTTTGACATTCACAGAAGTGTAATGGAAATGTTATTGACAAATTAAGAAGAAAGCTATGTTATATTCAATATTTTTTATGATAGAAGCACTTTCCATTTTTAACTATTCTTTTATGGTGGGTGATGCAGCAGTGACTGCTTTAAAACAATTGCAGTTAAAACCTCTGACCAAAACTTTTTACAAAAAACAAATAGAGAAGCCTTGACTGTGCTTTGTTCTGTTGTAAAGCACTTAAGAAGTGGTTAGAGCACTCAAGAAGAGGGGAGAAACATTTGACTACGTCTCAAGTTTCTACCTAACACTTATTTCAGGCTCTAGCGGCTTCCAGTGTGCTTTGCAACAGAACGGAGCACATGCAGTCAAGGCTTCTCTTTTTGTCAAGAATTTTGTTTGTGGGCAAGGCATTTAGCTCTCACATCAAGTTGTCTGAGGGAGATCTCATCTGGACGGGAAGGAGGAGGGGAGTAGCAACACAAGTATTTTAATCATGGTAAAGTTTTTTGGAGAAGCTCAGGCTCTTGGCTTTAAATTTGTGGTCTATTCCATATCTTTGTAGGATTAGAGATTTCTTTGACTTCCTGCCTCTCAGTAACAAGAGCCCGTCTCCAATCCGTGAATCAGACGACCCATGGTAAGTTGATGACCAAGTGGTGATTTGTTTTAGGGCTGAGGTTATGCTCTGAAATCTAAACTATAGCAATCGCAACAGCCAATCATATGAAAGGACAATATCACTAGCAGCCAAAGTGTGTTCCATGTCCATACGGGGTTGGATCACAGCTCAGTACAAAGTTACAGTCATTCATGTTCAGCTCTCTTTCCTCCAGTGACAGAATAATTCCCAACTTGGATACTCTTGTACCATTTGATTCCACCAAGGCTTATGACATACTAGATGTGATTTATCCGGTGAGTGGCTGTGATTAGAGCATTATTGACATTATTTTATTACAAAATGCACTTGAGTTCTGCGGTTGTTCGCCTTCCACTGTCAAATTTCTCCCTCCCATCCCACCGCCCTTGTTCTTTTCAGTCCCAGTCCTTTCTGTCAAGTGTTATGACAACATAACACACAGCATACAGGCAGTCAGGGATAAAAGTAAAGTTTTTTCTACGTTGAACACAGAGGGAAGGTGGAAATTAGTCAACAACACAATCTTCCTTTTGGATCTATACGAAGAAATATATTTCCTTTTCTTTTATATTCCCAACACCGAAACAGTGGAAATCTCAAATGCTACACTTTATGTACTTTCATTACAACCAATTTTATCGTTAAACAATATCAGCATGTGTGGGTATCTGTTTACACGAGAGATTATCACAGTGACCTCAGAGCCTGCAAGCCTCATGCGAAACGCTTTCGTTAGTTCACTTGGACTTTTATCAGAATCGAACGAATACGCAATCCTAAAAGATATCCTGCCAGGCAGCAAAATGTAAAGTCAAGGCAACAAACAGCATTTGAAGAGGGGCGACATGCATACTTCACAACCTGCTAAATATACACCATGTTTCATCAACTGGACATTCCGTTCATGCAAAATTGTATCATATTTTCTAAACCAATCACAGAGCGAAGTTATGCGGAGGCAGAGCAACATCAGACTTCCATGAATTGAATATCACTCTTCTTTCCTCAGATTGTAGATGACGGTGAATTCTTTGAGATCTCGCCTGATTATGCTAAAAACATTGTTGTTGGTTTTGGACGAATGAATGGACGCACTGTGGGAGTTGTTGGTAATCAACCTACAGAAGCAGCTGGTGAGAATCAATGATGATTTCCGAGAACATTTGAAATGACAAACTTAGAAAACCATGCACATCTCAGATTTTGTTTTGCCAATTTTATCTTGTGTGTCCTAACCAATTAAATTAAAGATCAGATTATGCAAGGAAACCACAGCGTTGCTTTGTACAGTTAACTTTTGTCAATCAAGGGCGTATCGTAGACTCTAGGTTCGTTATACCATACTATACGGCTCAAATAATTTATTATTATTATTATTGTCTTGTTTACTTTTTATTTGCTGGTCTATCTCAGGTTGTTTGGACATCAACGCTTCTGTCAAGGGAGCGCGGTTCGTGCGTTTCTGTGATGCATTTAACATTCCCATCATCACGTTTGTAGATGTTCCCGGATTTCTTCCAGGTTTGTGAATGTTTCTTAGTTCTCTAACTCTGTTACCAAATTTCTGGCCCTTAGTCAAAAGTGTAGGGACGGAATTTTACTTGGTAAAGACATCGGCTCACTAACAATTCTCTGCCAGTACGGTTTTGGACAATCGCAAACTGCTTGTAACCTGTTCTTAACTTAACTCGCTTTCCTTACGATGACATCGCAACATTGTAGAGAAACGATTTTTAAGACGTTCGAACGCGTCGGCCGACAGTCCTCTTAATCGTCGGCCGTTTACTGCTGACGCGTCGGCTGACACATTTCCAACCTGTTGGCCGACACGCTTCCAAAACGTGGGCCAACCTCCTTCCAACATGAAGACCCACTCATTACAACAGATTAGGCTAAGAATGACCCAGATGACGGCCCACACACAGACAACACTTTTCTAACGCGTCGGCTGAACATTTTCAACACATCGGCAAAATTCTTGTAAAAGATTTCCCTCATAGGGAGAGTATCAGCTCTAAGTATCAGTGTCGTTTTCTTTTGTAGGAACACATCAGGAATATGGTGGTATTATTCGCCATGGAGCAAAGCTATTATATGCGTATGCTGAAGCAACTGTACCTAAAATCACTGTTATCACCAGAAAAGTAAGCGGAATAAGTAGCAAGTACTAGAAGTTTTTTTGACATCGCTTGGTGAAGCTGCACCAACTGCGATGGACTGGTATTCCATTCGAGGGAGGGGAGTATTTATACTCCTAGCTTCGGCATCGTTTGGACTAATAGTCTCGAAGACGGACTTTATTTCTCAAATTTTGTGTTTAATTGTGTAATCGGAAGGTACTAATATTGAATCAAGGCTCTCTTTTAAGGGTTTGAGTGGTAATTGCCTGTTTTTTCTTGTTGTTTAGGCGTATGGCGGTGCATATGACGTTATGAGCTCTAAACATCTGCGGGGTGATTTCAACTATGCTTGGCCAACAGCGGAAGTAGCAGTTATGGGAGCCAAGGTATGTAGGCGTCAATGTTGATAGCCGTGGTATTTAGAGGGAACAGTTTAATACGCCCAGAGGGAGAGGGGTTCACTAGTTTTCAGGGCTTCCCTGACGAGGTGCTTATCGGAGAGGGGGCCGGGCTTGTTAGAGAGGGGTGGTTATAAAAAAGCTTTATTAGGGCCAAAATGTTATTCATATTTTGTTTTCCGAATCCCTACCTAGATTTAATTAATACCATGTACATAATGCATTTCTTTGGATTTGAAAAAACAGCAACAACCAAAAAACAGCCTTATTTTATGATATTAGACTGAAGAAACCAATAAAGGCTTTCGCTTACATGGAATTTTTTCCTGTGAAAAACTACTTTGCCTTTACAAATTATAATTTTATATTGCTTAAGGGTTATTTTCCAGGGGGGAGGCGAAAGGAGAGGGCTTTTCGCAAAGAGGGAGGCGTAGTTGACGCTCACTTTTTTTTCTAGACCTGGGATTTAATCGGGAAAGGGGGCTTGATAGAGCGTGAACTGTATCAGAACTTATATTACTTGTTGATCCAAACTGAAAGTTTCTATAGGTTCCTCCCAAAGAACATTTTAACAAGTTCTGTTATATTTACCTCTCTCATTAAGGGTGCTGTGTCAATCATATTCAGAGGCAAAGAGAATATCGGTGAGTATTTCTCAGATTAATGACCATCATTACATCATCTAGTACTCAAATTCTTCTTGAATTCTCCTGTCCGGTAGAAAGAGTTTCCTTACACATTTTTCCAGCTCCGTCTCCTTGTGTGATATAACATGACGCGTGTACATGATTGGGAATTAAGTCGGAAACACTTTGCTTAAATGTTGAGTTGAAAAAGGTCACAAACAGTCATCGTAAGGTTTAGGACATGAGATTTAGGCATAAGTTCATTTTTCTCTCCCTCTAAGTCAGTGTTCCTGAATTATGTGTATATTGTAGTTGGTAATTTTTTGGTAGCTTGCTTGGCCGGAAGACAAATGGGACGTGGGGAGGGGGAGGGGGGTGATGGGGGATACGTTAATTTGAGCATGATGGGGTCTGGGAAAGAAAGTGGGCGTTTCCATGTAGGCCCAACGGTCGCACTTACAGAAATTCTCCCTTCCTCGTACACCTGTCATTCAAAAGCTAGAAAGACATTATTGATACTTTACCTTTTTGGTTCGAAGCCTTTTGTTTACTTCTGTACAACCTTATAGTCCAATGTCTTAAATGGCATTTTATGAAGATTTGTGTCAGTGAAATACTGCGATGTTCAGTGCACCCTTGTAATTGATGATTGATAATAGTGTTTTACATTAATTCCTTAGAAAAATATGAAGCTGAGTATGTGGACAGATTTGCTAATCCATTCCCGGCTGCAACAAGAGGTAAAGCTTGCACTGTCCTATGAATGTTATTCTTAAAAATTTAATCTAGATTTTGATGTATGTATCGAGCGAATGCAGTTGGTTTGATCGCAAAACTTGAGCAGTTTTTGTTTCTCCCCTACACCTGTGTAACAGTGAAACGAACGAAAATCATGCCTCAGGGAAGAAATGTTATGGAATTTTAATAAAGGAAGCGTGAGTGGTTCGTCATGACTAGTTTAGGGAAAACTCGATGACCCTATGGATTGCGCGCCAAATTCCAGATCATTTTGATCCTTTTCCTTTCGAAAATCTTTTGTTTCTTTATCTTTTTGTCTTCGTTTTTTCGAATATAATTGTTTTTTGTTACAGAGGCCGACATAATCTTTGGCAGTAAAAAGCCATAAGGATGGGGAAGGAACACGTAACGCAGTACTAGCATACTATGAAAGTAAAGCTGTGATATCAAATTTCTTTATTATTTCTCTTTCAGGATTTGTGGACGACATCATCAAGCCTCACATGACACGGAAAAGAATCTGCCGAGATTTGGAAGTACTTGCCACCAAGAAACTTGAAAACCCGTGGAAAAAACATGGAAATATTCCCTTGTAGCTGACTTTGATGACTCCTGCATTATAATTATTCGTGGAAATTTTTAACACCGTGTCTTCCTCGCCTTTGAACAAATTTAATCAACATGTAAAAAGTTTTATAAAACATCGGGGAAGAGAAGTATGAATATATTAAATGGTAATGCAAGGAACGCTACCATGTGTGTTAGCTGAAAACGTCACTGGTCGTTTTTATGCGAAGCGTACAAGTGAGTAATATGGTGATTCAATGGGCAAATTTCGTTTGGCGTTAGCTCAGCCTTGAGAGTCTGCGGAGAGCATACATCTTATCAAACATGGAGGAACGATTGTTAGATTTGGTGGATTACATGGGTAGGACTCAAGAGGGGATGACAGCTCAATTCGGTTTCTTGGAATCACAGTATCAATGGTTTCTAGTACAATCACTGTATATTCTGATAATATTCTGCATAGTATGTTGAAGAACTCACCATACTGTCTCCTAGATTATTGTCCAAAAACAGCAAGTAAGAGAACACATGCACTATGCACCACAGACATCTTTCAGTTTCAGCAAAATTAAAAAACTAGACAAATCATTATTTGTAGCACGCATTTTGTTTTATCGAAAGGTATTTATTGCATTTTCTGTTCTCCATAGTTACTAATAGACGATATAATCACGAATCGTTCGTCTCGTAGTTTCTTTTTCAGCTTTAGTCGCCATGGTTTTAAATTAGGTGCTTCCTCTAATAACTGACGCTTTTTCTCCGGTTCTTCCTCTGGTTCATCCTCTGTTTCAAATACACGATTTTTACGCTGCAATCTACGGAAGGGAAATTCAACAAGACCATGAACAGAAATCCAGTTTGAATAGTTCAAAACATAGGGTTATAAATTTGCGAAGCGTGTGGAACGAAAACTGTGCATGTTTTAAGTTTTCGGGGCATTACAGAGTGCCCATTTAGTGTGTAGAACAAATGGGTATGAATCATTTGTTTGATCAATGACAGTAACTGCGCAATTGCGCACCTACCCCTCCCCTAACCAGACATTAACCCCAACTTGTTATCAGTTGTGTATTGTTGAATTAGGGGAGGGGTAGGTGCCTAGTAATTCAGATACTAAAATTGATTTAAATAGCCTGAGCCCGAAGAGTAACAGCATTTTGTGGTAGGTTACTGTTAGCGGCCATTCTAAATCCCCAAAGAGTGCTCCTGAAGAGAAATTCTTCTCGGATATGAGCTGAATCAGGAAATCTCCTCGCCTCCCCTAATATGACTGATCTCGGAAGGGAACCTTCGAGAGAAGCTAAAGAAATATTACCTGATAATTTCCAAAGATTTCCTCTCTTGACGAATTTTGTATTTTTGACGAATGAAACCGGTGATGTAGTATATTGACAAAGTGCACCCATCGGTGAAACAACAAATGATTATAACAATCACAGTGTCATGCCAAGTCCAGTGTTTATACTTGGTCTGGAATCTTTTCCAGGAATCTAGGCAAAGGAAGAGGGAACAAGAAGAAGTTATTAGAATGCCCTGACCACAGCATCAATATCTTTGTTACGTCGCGTTAGTCCGAACAAGGCACTGCAGATGTAGTTCGGGAAGATAAATAATGGTAATTAGACTTAGTAGAGAGCAATTTGGTCCAGAATCATACAAGTGATTTCAAAATCGAACGAGCGCGCAGCGTACTTTGATTTGAAATCACCAGTATGATTTTAGACCAAAATTGCATGACACAAAGTTCATTTACCACTTAATTACATCCATTTGAAAAATCGAAAAATTCAGTCACTCAAACACAGGATTTTCTCGGTGTATAGAATAGCTTATTGATTCAGCACTGAGCCGACCGGTAAAAAGTTGCAAAAGTTGTCGTTCACTTTCACTCATTTGGTTTCTTTAAACAAGTCTTGAAATCCGATTAGTGTGTTCTGTTTTAGTGAAGGTTTCTCATTGGCTAGGAAAGGATGCGATTTAAAGCAAAAAATGGTGCGAATCGTAAATAAATCGCTCTAACGAGAGCCAATCAGATTGTAGGGAGCACCAGTGATTTCAAAATGGATGTTATAAAGGAAAGTACTTCATGTAAGAATAACTGCGCTAATAACTGTTGACATACCCTATGTTATAAACCACGTTGGATACGTTTCGAGGCAATTTCGTAGTCGCATAAGAAATAGTATGGTTCCTGTGGAGAAAGGGTAACTAGGGAAACTGCAAAGGAAAACCCTTGAAGCGAGGAAATAATTAATTTATCGAATAGAGTCCACGTTGCCTCGCATCAGTTTAATAATGGGTCACAAATGACGACGAAATGTGGTAAAAAAGTGATCCACAAGGCACACGATCTTGCGGAAAGGGAGCGCTGGTTGAATAAATTTGGTAATGAAAAAACCTTGCAAATAAATTATCTTATGTGATTGGACTGCCAAGGTCAGTTTGAGTAATAGCTTTTACAGTTTACTTACAGTTTGTTGTGTTAAAGATGCTGTAATTGGTCGGACTTACGACCTCGGCTTTTGGGCATGACTCTGCTTCCTAAAGTTATTCAAAAAAAAAAAATGAAGATTATGATATGACTCTGACAGCTAGAAATTCAATAATTGTGCTACTCTTCTCACTAATAGTATTTTTTCTCGGTATGCAGGTAAAATAAGAGAAAGTGCTTGTTATGATGATTGGCTTGTTACGTTAGTTAGAGGATTGAAATCAAGTGGAATCTGCAAGGCATCATAGGGTCTTTATGTTTAACGCAGCTTGTTCGAAAACGGTGACGGATAACTCTCTTCAAAAAAATGGGCCAAAACACCACCAAACGGCCAATACGAATAAAACCTCGAAAAAAGGAGTTTAGAAGAGCTAAAAATGTGAAAAAAAAACTTGCAGACGCAGAAATCGCACACGTATAAAATGCTCACGATGTGTTTTCAAATTTAAAAAGGCTCATACTGTCGTAACGTATGACATCAAAACGAAACGGTTACCTTTAAAAGAACTAACATATATTTCATAGATAATCGCAAAATCATCACTGCTCAGAATACAGTGAAGTTTTCAAAACTCTTAAAGAATAGGCGGACAGATAAACTGTCTGTCTTGAATTCGCGGCAACCATTTTAAATCCTCCTTGAGTAGTGAGTAATCACTTTTAGAGCCATAACGTACCTTTTCGCTGGTAGCGCTTTCAGCGGAGGATGTTCCAAAGAAAAGTAAAACAAAAAACAGGCGAATATCGAACTTTTCCATTTTTTGTAAGAGTCTTTTTTTTCTTGGCAAGCGCAAAATATGGAATCTATTTGTGAACAAAAACAAAATGAGAAACTGACGTCATAATGAAATTTCAAACGTCATTATTACTCCTGCGCGCGCTTTAAGAGGTTTGACGTTGACGTGGAATTACTTTTTCCGTTAATAGCCCATTTCCTTCTAATGGTTGAGAATGATAAATTCTGATAAGCTTGGGGTGGAAGCGCGATGACTCAAAGGCTAGCGCGCTTTACTCCGGATTGGGAGGTCTGGGTTCTAACCTTGGTGGGTAATAATTCTTACAGTGCCTCTTTTAGCTCAGGAGTACATACGGGAATAGGATATTGTCAGGAAACTTAAACTTAATGCTGAAGGCAACGTGAATGTTGTGAACTAATCCCCGTGACGAAGTTGAGGGGAATATTTAATGTTCAAATGCTCAAGCGCTTTTAAATTCTGATGCAAAATCTGTAAATAAAGATAGTATTGAGCATATTTTGTGACTGATTACTAGTATCAAGATAAGCAAGCATTTTTAACAGGTTTATTTCATTCAATCAGCAAAACCGTAATGTTACGCCAAACTCAGAAGCATATTTTGTGCTCTTTGCAATTGAATTTTCTTTTGTTGCGTTTATCACTTCCACGGAAACCGGGTTTCATTTTTATCAAACGATTCACTTCTGATGTGGAACATGTCGTTTTGAGGAGTGTGAACAGGGTGTAGTGCCAATTTTCTTAAGAGAAAGAGTGGAAGAACACGTTAGGCTGACAGTATGCCAGAATGGTGCAATTGTGCCCAAGAAGTGACTGCATCTCCCAGAGGTGTTAACATGTAACTTCTCTCTATTATAACCATACATTGTCCAGCAAACAGGTAATGAGAATATTCAAACTTATCAGGTGGGAGTCGATCGTTGTGTCGATCTAACACCAAATTCTCGCTAACGATTCATAAAGAAAGCGGTATTGTAGATAGAGGAGAGAATTAATGATCAGATCTTGGGAGTTAAAGGATGAATTACAACCTTTTTAAATATTTTTTTAATCACAAGTCTCGTATATTTTGTTTTATATGCTGCACAGTGTGGCTCTTGTGTCCGGCTAAAGCACTTCGCGAGTGACTTCTGAAATGAAAACTTATAGGCCATACATTCTCGCGACCTTATTCATACATGGCCAGAGAATGTAAATTCTGAACCGAGTCAACCCAGTGAGCGTGCTTATTCAAATGAAAATCACGAAGAAATTAGCTAAATCTTTGGAGAAAACCTGGACAACTGAATTTTGGCCTAAAAACTTCGAGAAGGTTTCGTGATTATAAAAGAAATATTGTACTCCTTGAAATTAACAATACATCGTATTTATGAACCGATTTGGAAAAGACCATTCTTGTTAGGAATCATATGAATAGGGCCGAAGTAAACGCATCAAAAGTCTAAAGAGCAGTTTTGAAGTACAGGGTGTATTTGTATGTATTTAGTGTGATAGCTGAGAAACACAATTGTTTCAAAACGTCTTATTCAGAGTTACTTTTAAACGATAATGCAAGAAACGCCACCATTTGGATTAGTTGAAAACGTCACTGGTCATTTTACGAGATGCATAGGAACGAGCCATGCGCAAATTTCGTGTGGCGTTTGCACGACCTTACAAGTCTGGAGAGACCTTACATATTAAAGATGGCGGATTGACTCTTAAAATAATTATTGTGGATCAATTGGGTAGGACTCTACTGGGGATGAGGGCTTAGTTTTGTTTCCTGGAATTACAGGATCGTAAGCTTATGGTTCATTCAATGTATATTGTAATAATAATCGGCAGAGTATGGCGAGGAATTTAACACACTGTCACCCAGATTACTGACATACAAAAAGCGAGCAAGAGAGCACACGTACGATCTACCACAGAAAGATTTTAGTTCCAGCAAAATGAAGAAAATAGACAAATCATTATTTGTAGCACTCATTGTGTTTTTTCGAAAGGTATTTATTACATTCTCCGTTCTCTTTTTTTTACCAATAAAATACATAATCACTAACTGTCCTTTCCCCGTCGTCTCTTTTTCAGCTTCAGTCGCCATGGTTTTGAATCAGTTGCTTCTATTAACAGCTGACGTCTTTTTTCTGGATCATATTCTTTTGTAAATACACGATTTTTACGTTGCAATCTATAGGAGAGATATTTAACAAGACCATGAACAGAAATCCACATAAATAGTCAAATAGTGAAAAAAGACAATTGTCAATTTTTTGGAGCGTTTGGAGTGAAAATCGTACAGGTTTTTAAATTTTAGGACATTGCATAGTGCACATCAAATTTTGTAGAACATATGAGCGCGG